CAATGTCAGTGTTGCATTGATGGTGGAGATAATCAATTTTACAACTGTGTTACAAGGAACAGAAGATTGAGTGCACACAGTTAGTCATTTGTGGACAGGTAAAGAAGAAAGGAAAGAGAAGCCCAGGACATATGATAAGGATATTTCCAAGGGTTAGTAAGGGTTAGTAGCTGGGAGGTTGAGGTCAAAGGCAGGGTGCTAACAGCTGTCACATAACCTTCTCTGGAAGTGCTTTCCTGGTTCTGTGAAACCTACTTAGCACCCTTTCATGAAACCAAATTATGTGGGTAAACAGAAAGCACAGTGGAGCATCCTGCTGAGAGACCCCATCTCACTCTGCAGGCTATTTCTGAGGCAGTTCTTAGAGCTGGCCCGAGAAACGACATCTTCTGGATCCAGATCATTGCATGGCAACAATGAAACCTCGGTCCTGTCCTGGGCAAAAGTTAAGAACCACGATGTCAGGAAAAGCAACTTTGGGACAAGAGGCCATGTTTATCAAACTTTGCCTCTGGAACAAATCTCTAATCTATTCAGGTGGATTGATAGTTGGCCGGGTCATGCCCACGGAAGAGGTGAATGACTCTCATTGTTTGTCCAAGAGCAGTGTCCTTGGTTTGCCTGTCTCTGCAGAATTGGGGATTTTTAGATCTAGTCTCCCCACCCTGTTCATCTGATCACTATATAATGAGAACCAAGAGGGGCCTCCAGGTTCACACAGCTGGAACCCATCTCCAGGAACAAACAGCTGGAACCTCTCTTCAGTTGGAGGGAAACTTCCAGGTTTTTGTAAGATTCTTCCACCTGGGTAATCCATTGTTTTATTTATTTACTTGTTTGTTTATATACTATTTTTAGCTGTCCATCCATTTCAGTGAAACTATTTCCCCCCTTTTAAAGCCTCTGGGCCCAAGCTCATGAATTAAGAAGAAAATAAATTAGATTCCAAAGTTTAAAATGAAAACAGATTTCTTTGGGGGATATTCTATATCAGGGGTCCGCAACCCCTGGGCTGTGGACGGGTAGCGGTCCGTGGCCTGTTAGGAACTGGGCCACAGAGCAGCAGGTGAGCGGCGGGCGTGCAAAGCTCCATCCGCCACTCCCCATTGCTCACCTTACCGCCTGAACCATCGCCCCATCCACGTCTGTGGAAAAATTGTCTTCCTCAAAACCGGTCCCTGGTGCCAAAAAGGTTGGAGACCACTGTCCTATATGTAGATAAAGGGAAATTAGTGCGATTAGGAGCAAGTGGAGGTTTAGGAGAGACTCCTAAATTGTGATAAAATCCCCAAAGATTTGGGAAAGCTGTTTGCTGAAGGGCATCCTGAACCCACCCACCCCCTGCCATATAGGCATTGTATGTGGCTTAACAAGAAAAAAAAAACAGAAAGTATATTTTTAGCTCTGTTTTCTTTTCTTTTTCGATATTTATTTATTTGGCTGCGCCGGGTCTTAGCTACAGCACATGAGATCTTCGATTTTCGTTGCAGCATGTAGGATCTTTCAGTTGCGGCCTTCGAACTTAGTTGGCATGTGGGATCTAATCTAGTTCCCTGACCAGGGATAGAACCTATGTCCCCTGCTCTGGGAGCGCAGAGTCAGCCACTGGACCACCAGTGAAGTCCCAGCTCTGTTTTATTATAACCTTCCCTGATAATTTCTTTCCTTAAGAAAGTTTTGGGGGAATTCCCTAGTGGTCCAGTGGTTAGGACTGTGTGCTTTCACTGTGGAGGTCGTGGGTTCAATCCCTAGTCAGGGAACTAAGATCCCACAGGCCATGCAGTGTGGCCAAAAAAAAGAAAGTTTTGGGTGCTCTTTGAAAGCAAAGTGGGACACATCCCAAGATCAAAAGAAGGTACACTGACCATAGTTACTCATCATTAAAGGTCAAGGTAATGCCCTGGTGCATAAAGTTTGGTGGATCCCTTGAATACAAAATATTGCCTGTGGGGAGAGGAAGAGAATGTTAATTTTTATAAAGACCAAGGGATTGGTTTGAGACAGAGGATAAAGTTAGTCTAAAGAACATTTGGAACAAATTCCACTGACACTTATGTGCTTGGGTCTAGAAGGATATGTGTAAATGAGTCTGACCACCCTTGACCAAATGTGAGGCTCTGCACCCTTGGCCTAGGCAGATTCACTTCTGTACCGCAAATAATCTCTTATTTGTTTTCATCCAATTCCCTTTTACCTCTCTTTTTGGGAAATTGAGAATTGCATATATGCTTGTGGAAGGTATGAGTGGGGGGAGCAGATGTTAGATAGTGGTGGCCACTCTCACCAGTAGTGTGTATTTGCTGGGATTTGGTTTCTGGATGTCTCAGGGAGTCAAGATTACAATAAGCCTGAGCAAACTTTAGCTGAGTTGTTATAGAACGAATGTGCAAATTTTGTAAGTCAGAAACAAAGATATTCCTTTACCTCCGCAGATTGGCACGTGAGGACCTTCAACCTCCCAATAAACAAGTGGCTTTTTAGGGTGACAAGCCCTGAGGTAGGGTCAGTCCAGTGCCTTAACTAGAAGTGGTATGGGCTGGACTTACACACCGAGCCTTCAGGGATGATGCATACCAGTGAGATTGGGCTGCAGACCATCCTATCATCTCTTTCTTCCAGCTGGTGCCTTGTGCTACCAACTAAACTTATACAAACTTATCTTTACAATTCCATGGTCACTGGACTTTTGCTAGTGAAACTAGAAAGGCTCTCTTATGCTTAATGAGAACCAGGGAATTTCAAACTTTAGATGTGAGGCAGGTAGTATGATACAAGTTGAATAATATGAGCCCTGCCCTCCTGTAGATTATGTACCAGTAGGAAACACTGAGAAGTAAACAGGTAATTGTTCGCTCAGATCCCATGAATAATGGTTTTGGAATGGCACCCATGAAACCTGACAAGAGGTAAATCTTTATTTTGTGATATCCTTGTGGGCATATACTGAGCTTTGTGACTTTTACTTTGACACTGGTGAGCTGTCCTTGGGCTTAATATCTAAAGCATAGAGTGTTTGGACAGAAACTGTAGACAGGCCTGCCAGCTCACACCCCCTTCGGTGAACAGCAATATCCCCTGTACAATACTGGCACCTCCTACAAGGACCCACTGTTTTCCCTA